AAACATACCATGCTGAACTATCATGCCAGGGTTCAGACGACACATCGGAGTGTCCAGTGCAAGAACCCACCACGCGAACCCACCAATATATTGTGTTGTCCAAGGAAAATGAAATGCATGCAGAAAGTGCAGACAGAAAGAAGCACTTTAACGACTGCCATGCACATACCACTGTGGGGGGGAAACAGAGGTGTTGCCCCACTGAGTGCATTCATCTATGCAGCATGATTAAACACGCCTTTGTCCTTATTTGAAGCACAGGAAATAGTTGAATCACTTGATTACTGGCTCATCAGGAGTGTTATGGAGCCAGCTGGAGCAGGGGGTCAGACTAGATGGCCCGGGAGACCCCTTCTGACTTGCTCTGTTTCTACGTTTCTATGTTATCCTGTTCTCTGCCTTTGGCATTTCATTGTTCAGGAATAGCTGCCTTGAGGTCATGGAAAGAGCATCCTGGGAGAGTTGCACTGCCAGATTTGTCAGATTCATGCCCATCTGTTCCCAAGGTCGAGACCTGGCCCGTTTGCTCTGTGCAGCATGTTGGCGAATGGTGGCACTGGGGATGTGGGGAGATGGGAGGTGAATGTGACAGAAGACATTATTAGACCCTGGGTCGGTGTTGCCAGAGTAGTCACTGGGACGGCGTGTCCCCTTGGAGCCTGTGGCGGAAAGGCAGGATCTGGTCCTCCTTGTCAAAGGCTTAGCCTCCCCAGTCACCTGTTAGTGCAAGAGGTGTCCTTCCTAAGAACGCCGAAGCTCCTCACCACCTGGGGCTGTCCAGGGACTTCTCGCTGGATGAAAGGCTTGCTTAGATAGTCCGTTGCTCAGATGCAGCGCACCTTTGCTCAAAGCATGTTCGATAAAAAGGAGAGGCGTGGCACCTGTAGGGATAATGCGACACGTTCCACCCCAGCTCCCGCCCCACCTCCCTCTCTTTTGCCGTTCGGGGGAGCGGGGGGGGGGGATCTCCGGGCATGGCCGTCGTCCGCTGTTCCTACCAGCTGCATTTGGAAAGCAACAGCTCCGCTTAGGGGCCGTTGAAGGGAATAGCGCGGACCTTGAAGTCTTCTCACAGAACCTGTCCGGACTGGACCCCCTTCCAGGCGCTTCTCCCTGCGCCAGGGCCCTCACAGGTTGGCAGCAGGTGACTGGTGACCAACTCATGCCATAGTGGCGCCTTCTGGTGGCCGTTTGGTTGACCACTGCCTTACTGGTGGTTGTCTCATGTCAGTCTATCACTTCTTTCCTTTTTAAAATACCTGCTGCCACATCAATGATTTAAATGTCACTTTTCTAACTGATGGATTCCTGTGTTTAATTATCGGCAGGATGCTTGCAAAGGTTTCAAAATGCCATTTAAGTATTGAAATACAGAAAGAGACACGCGCTAGGGAAGACTTTAGACATAGAGTCAAAATCTGCCTGGGGTTCCCAAACAGTCACATCTCTCTGTCAGTTTTCCTCAGCCACTGGTTCTTGCCAGTTCCCAAGCTTTGTGCAGGTTGCCCCCCAGTTCTGAAAGGTTGAAATGCCCCGCTGCCAGCCCCGTCTCTGGCAAGGCAGTGCTTTGAGCTACCATGGGCTGTCATTTTCAGCCCACCGCTTCTGCTTTTGGCTCTGCTCACCGCTGGAATGCAGCCCCACCAAGGGGCCCCCGCAATGGAATTTGGCCTTGGGGAGAACGAGGGCCTGAGCCCCTGAAGCAGGCAATGCTGGTGTTGCTGGGCCCAAATGAAGGCACGGGAATGGCTAACACAGAGATCTCTCTGCAGGAGTGCTGCTCTGCAGATGAGGCCAGGGCGCAAGCCCCCCCCCCCCCCCCCCCCCCCCGCATCTCTTGCTGCTTCCTAGGGCTTCTCCCAGTCCTTTTGCACTTTCTTCCCAAAGTCACTCTTTCTCCTCTACCATGGAAGCCACTGGCCTCGTCCTGCCCAGATCGTGCGGCTGCCGTCGCCTATTTAGTCCGAGCGGACTTGAAGGCAGCGCGCTCCCAGCAGGGGCCTCCTTTCCCCAGCTCCCGTGCGACGGGTTTCTCCCACCAGCAGAGAAGGAACGAGGCACACAGGCAGTGATCTACTGAAAACTTTAATGAAACAAATAAGTTAATAAGTTAATAAAGTGAGGTAACTATTCATCATCTCAGAAAGAAGGTTTATTTGGAAATCTGTTCGAAGGTCCCCCTCATTTCCCTTGGCTGGCCAAAGCCACCCCCGCTCCTTCCCCCGCCCCACCGTGCCATCCGCCCCCTCCCCGCCCCGAGACCCCCGTCCTGGACGACAGACTCGCGCGTGCTTTGCAAAGACGGCGCGTCCGGCGCGGGGCGGGCGGCGCGCGCTCCGCGGGCTCTTCAGGACAGAAGCAGGAGCATGCAGAGGCGGCGGCGGCGGCGGCGGCGCAGCGGGAGGGGCGGCGCTCGTGGCGTGCACCCGGCGCAGGTGTGGAACGGGAGCCGGGCCTGGCGGGGGCGCGGGGGCCTTTCGCACGGGCGGGCCGCGCGGCCTCCCGGGTGCTGGTGCAGCTGGCTGCAAGTTGAAAGGGGAGGGAGGGTTTCCAGTTGTCACTCGTTCCGCTTCTTCGCTTACGGCTGCGGGGCTGGGGGGGGGGGGAGACCACAGCGGGGAACACGCGGCAGGGAAAGGGCGACCAGCTGCTCCCCAGCTCGAAGGGAATTAGGTGCCGGAGCAGGAGGAAAACAAAGCATCCCTCCCCGCATGGGATTCAGGCAGCCCGACAGCGGTCAAAGGAAGGGTGGAAAAGAGGGGGGAAATCGAGCCGTTTGAGCCTGCAGGTTATTCTGGGATGACCTGGCCTGGTAAAGGTATTGAAAAGAGATTGAAGACTGCTGGGAAGATTAGAGCGGCCTCAAATCAAGGCTGCCCGAAGGGCCATCACACTGCGGCAGACGCAGGTTTGGGACCGAACAGCAACTCGGCCCTGGCTCTCCAGAGAGAATGCTTGTAGAGACACACTTGCAGTTTAGCTCAACTACACATTACCAGTCGTCTAAAGTGCACGCCACGGATGCTGCGGCGGCGGCTGCTCTTTAGTTGAATGCACATGCAGACGCAATGTTTGGAATGAGCTGCTGAGCTCTGGCTCTTTCCCGGGAAAGCACACTCAAGACAGAAGCACAAAATGGTGGTGGCGGCAGCAACAACTAGGTCATGGCTGGAGGGAAGCTGTGTGCAACTGTGGCAGCCTGCAGCGAGGGGAGGCGTTTTCGGTACCCCCAGCTCCGTCCAAGGCACCCTGCAGAGTGCCAAAAAACGCAGTGCCTGCAACACGGCAGGATACCAGAAGCCCTGCTCTCCGCTCTCCAGCAACCTCTTGTAGTTGGTCACAGTCTAACTTTGGCACTTTTCTTAATCTCGGCTTAATTCTCCTTTCCAAATTTGGCGGCATGGCAAGAGGCAGTGGGGGCTGCATCCCACCTGCATGCTGCCACACCTGCTGCCTGGGAACTTACGAGTGGGAGGCATCGTGCCACAATGGGAACAGGCGCCGGGGCAGAGGTTTCCAATGCAGATCATGGAAGGGCCATGCAGCGGGACTGCCTCCAGGAAAATGTGGGCTGGAAATCCATAACCCAGGAGTATTTGCTGGCAATGGTGTGGATGGATTTCGAGAAGGAAGGATCTGAAGCAGTGGTGGCCAGCTTGTGGCACTCCAGATGTTTGGGCCAGTGGCTTTCATCAGCCCCAGCCAGCATGGCCCATGATGAAGAAGCCATTGCCCACCTTGAGCTACAGCATCCTCCATCCATCCATCCATCCACCCATCCAATTCACTGGACACTGTGTCACTGCAATACAACTGGAAACACAACACCCTCTGGGACAGGACCAGGCTGCCTCTCACCCTAAAGACAAGAGCCAGTACAGGCCACTGAGAACTCTTCTCCTTGTGGCCAGTTGGGTCTGGCTCTCTTCAGTGAGCCTATGGAGACCACAGGACTGCCCAGGTCCCTACTGGCCTGCTGGACAGGTGAAGCTCTCTATGAATGGCTAGACAAAAAAGGTGGGTTCCGCGTTGCATATTCAAGACTGTTGCATATAATGTTGCTCCCCACCCCCACTGGCAGCATTTCCCTGTGTGGAAGTTCCACTGTGCTCATGAAATAGGCAATGCCTGCTATTGAAGGGATGGGACGGAGGGAGCCCGAAGGGCGAGGCATTTCTTCTAGATGCAAAGACAGGAGACCACATTCAGTTGAGTCACAATTGTCTCTTGCGTAGCACTGGGGAGGAAAGGGTGACCTAGCTTTTGCATAGCTGTTAAGAAGCGTCTCCAACCTGGTTTCCCAGGTGGATGAAGTCTGGAGTCTGTGGCTGTTAGAGGAACGTCTCGAAGTGGCTGGCACCACCCAGACTGTTGCTTGATCCAAGAGCTCTTGACTGAAGCATGGAAGGGCCCTCCAGTCTTGGGAACGAACTCCCTAGGAGAGCTCAGCCCGGGCAGCTGGGTGCGCCCAGGACTGCTTGAGTTCACAGGGACCCTGGCAGATACTGCTCTGACGAGGCTGAGGGCCAACTGTGGCTCCTTCTGTGGACGATGGTGGGCTCCCCTCCATGGAGGGGGCTGCCTGCCCCCCTTGCGCCTTAAAGTCTTAACTGCCAGCACAAAAATCTGCCGGTGGCTCTGTTACCACTGAAGGCTCCCACCATTTCCACTGGGGAGAGGAGACGACACTGCCACGCTGACTCTCCTGGTGGGCGCATCTTGACCACTCCTCAAGCACCCCGTGCTTGCGGCTTGGCTTGCGGCTGGAAGACTTCAAGTAAAGTTGAGGCAACTTGTTGTGGTGCACGGGGAGAAGACTCTCCGTTGGTGCCCCGCCCCGTGGCGAGGCCCAGGGTTGGGCTGGGACATGGGCCGCTAGAGCGGCTGGAGCACATCTGCCTGCTCTGCCTCCCTATCCTGGAAGCCGAGGGCCCCCCGCCCCACCTCCTCTCCCAATATGGCTGGTGTGAGATGGTCACATGGTTGGACCGGGTGCCACCTTAGTCCATGTTGGCACTAGCCGACCGGGAGATGTTCAGGGTCTGGGCAGAGACAGAGATGTCCTCGTGCTCCACGGGGCTGTGGTAGTCAGAGGTGATGTCAGGCTCCCCGGCAGGGATTGGCACGGCCGTCAGGCTGATGGAGTTCACGGATCCCTTCCGCAAGCACTGCGAGTAGACTCCCAGCAGCAGGTCAAGCTTGTGTTCAATGGACTGCACCTGCCCAAGACAGAGGAGGAGCGGGTTAGACTGCAACCGGCGTGTGGTCCAATCCAAGGGGGGAGGCCAAGAAGAGGGACGGCCAGGCATTTGCTGAGGGGAAGATTTTTAAAGGTCTCCGGTATTCTGGTTGTCAACATGGCAAACTCACGTTTGCCAAGATATTTGATGTTGTTTTCGGGATTAAGTCTTTTCAAGCTCGGCTAAGAGAGCTCTAGCCATCAGGGGGCATACTTATCCAGTGGCAACACTTACAAGCTGCTCCGCATCTAAATAAATTTTGGAGCAGCAGATAGCAAAAGATAAAAAAGAATAAAACAGAGTCAATGTTCTAAAGAATAGAATGGCAATAAAAACCACGGCTGGTCGACTGAGGAAGCCTGAAGAGGTTCTGGAGATGCTGACTGCAACACAGGGTTGGTGCCCGCCTGAAATTCAGAGGCAGGGAGTCCCACACAGAAGGCTTTGCCAGTTGGTGAGCTTCGGCTGGGCCACAGCTCCACGTGGAATCATGTGGATGCCAACTGAGGACCTCGGGACCAGGCAGAATGGAAAGGGAGAAGGCTCTCTCAGGGATCTGATCCTGGGTTGCTTATGGCTTTATGCCCAGGCGGCAAAGCTGCCCCCTGGCCTGGTAGCGAGTAAGCAGGCAGGGCAGCTCCTTGAACCCTGGAGCTGCAAGCCCAAAAGGGGCAGCTCCTGACAGCGGATGAGCCGCGGCATTCCTGCCCCCGCCCCCCGCCAGCTTCCAGCCGCCCTGACACACAAATGCCCGGCTGCAACGCCAAAGGAAGGGCAGCTCCTCTGGAGGAGGCTGGCTCCTGCCCACGGGAGGCGTGCTCAGGGAAACGCATGCATTGGGCATGCCTCCCTGCCGCACCTGCTTCTCCACCTTGACTACTCGGCCCATCATACTGAACTCATCCACCAGCTCCACCTCCAGGGACGCCTTCTCGCCCTTCTCTCGAGTCTTCTTGTCCACCGCGATGGCTCCCCGACCCACAATCTGATCGACGCTGCCGGCCAGTGGGCGAGAGAAGGAAAGCAAGTCTGAGCCAGAGCCTGGCCTCCAGCACACGCAGACTTCCCTGCTGGCCCCCCTCCGAACCCGGGCAAGCCTTTTCCTCACCCTGGCAGCTGCCCGGCAGGGTTTCTGCTCAAGCGCAGCTGGCCTGTGGGCTGCTGGCTTACCAGCACCCCTCCCCTTTCCCCCATTCCATTTCGGGGACGTGCTCAGGGGCCCGCTGGACTGAAGGTGAAGAGGGTGAGGCTCACGTGCAGGTGGACGTCAGCTCGGATGCCTTATTGCCAGTTAAGTCAGGGCGGGGCCGCTCAAGCTTGGAGAAAGGGCAATTCACCACCGCACAAAAGCCACGAAACCACTCCGTTGCTGATGTCTGGGGGAAAGGGGGGCATGGCTGGGGAGGGGTGGAGCCCTCTGGGGAACACCCAGGGGCAGATTCAGCCTCTGGACTGAGGCGCTGTGCTTCTCTTCTCCCAGCCCACCCCCTCTGTGAGCTTATATGCCTGCACTGAACTTCCTTCCTGGCCCACCAAACCCTGATCAGCTCTACCACTTGGCTCCAGCACCAATGCTGGGTTCTGCACACTGCCCCTGAATCCAGGGGTCTCCACCTCCAGCCCACCCTTTGTAATGGCTTACAGAGTGTCTAACCAGCCACCCTTGCCTTGGCCCCGTATCTGGCTGGGGTTCTCTCATGGATCCCAAACCAGCACCCTGGCCACCCAGCACCAGTGATGCCAGGGACTGCACAGGGCTCCCGCTGCAGAAAAACAGGGACTGCTTCTCTCATGGGATTCCAGCAGTGGGAAGTGGTGGTGGCATCCTGGGAAGGGTCAGGCAGAGAGGGGAAGTGGCTTGCCCAAGGCCATGGAAGGAATGGCGGAGGAGTTGGCAGATCTTGAATCCACATCTCTGGGATTCCAGATCCAGAGCCAGGGTGGTGCAGTAGCATGAGCTGAACTTGGGAGATGTGTGCTCCAATTCCCACTCAGCCATGGAGCTCCCCAGGTGCCCTGGGCCAGGCACAGACTTTCTCCCATGTGATTGTGAAGATGAACTGGAGAGGAGAGTGCATATAAAAATGCATAATAATAATAATAAAGAATTCACGCTCTCCAAACCTGAGGCTGCTCTTCCGCAGCCTGATGCCCATGAGATGTTGGCCCTCGGCTTCCATCATTGCCAAACAGCATGATCAATGCGTTTCACTCCAGTGTGAAGACTGTTCTTATGGGGATCCCCAAGAGAACCCAAAACCTGCACAGCCCCCAACTGCTCCACTTACCGTGTCTGGAGGCTCTTGATCCGTCCAAGCATGTCCAGGTGACCAGCCGAGTATTGCTCGATGACGTCCTTCACGTCATAGGGACGTAGGGTTTCCTTGAACTTCCGTTTGGCCACCAGGAATTTGAGGGTTCTGCAAAGACCGGTGCAGAAGAAGACAAGGATCCAGAAGGCTCAAGGGAGGGCAGAGGAAAAGCTGGAGGGCTGCCACGGACAGTGCCGACACGACTGGTCCCTCGGAGCCAGCATTGCTTAATGACTCCAGGCTGGGCAGTGCAGCTTGGAGAAGAGTGGGCAGAACCCTGGCGGGTGTAGGACCACCTGTGGCTCCGTGGGAACACTGGCGGATGAACAGCGGCTCACCTCCGGCCTGGTCTGTCTGGCAGAGGCTCCGCACGGTCATCGTCCATGCAGCCCCTTTCCCTAGAGATGCCGCACAACCAAGCATGGGACCACCTCCAGGAGGAGGTGAGATGTGAGCTCAACTTCTCCCCTCCAAAGATTTTGAACAAGAGCAGCCAGGATCCTAACCACGGCCCTTGCTGGATGGGCTGATGGGAGTTGTAAGCCAATGTTTCAGGGGGGCACCCATTTGGGAAAGGCAGGGCTGATCTCCCCTCTTGTACCGCTGCTCTGTCCAGCTCCGTGTAGTAGCCTGTGCCGGGAATCAGCCCCCAAGGGCTTGGGGAGCGAGGGTTTGCCCAGACCCGTCCACAGAGATCCTTGCACCAGGCTCCACAGGGACCAGGCCCACCACCTGTGCTTGCCGCATGTGATCCAGGTGCTGTGTCCAGGAGACTCACCCCTCTCTGGAGTGCCCCCCCCCCGGTCAAGTCATTTCATTAGAAGAGGGCCATGGACAGCAAGGGTCCAGGAGGTGTGGGCTGCCCTTCATTTGAAAAGCCAGACGATGCAGGGAGCTCCCCCCTCCCCCCCGGGCTCACCTGACGGCCCGGATGAGTGTCTTCACTGCAGGCATGATGTCCTCGAGGGTCAGGTCACACTGGTAGGCCTTCTCCTCACTGCTGTCCTCCGCGGGGCCGTCTGCTGTGGGTGGAAGGGGGGCTTCATGGGAGGACCGCCCAGCTAGCACTGCAGCTAAGCCCAGTTCTTGGCAAGGGGGAAGAGGACACATCTGGGGCCTTGAGGGTGCCATGGGCGCGCTCTCAAAATGGCTGCCCTGGCGAGGAGGCCTGGCATGCTGGCTTCAGTCTTTCACAAAAAAAGAAAAAGCCCCATGTCCCAAGGGCCTCGTCATAGAGCTGAGGTGGGCCTGAGCTGGAAAACGCAAAGCTGGTCTTTCAAGTCCACAAAAGGTGGGTGACGGAGCCTTGCAGCCCCCTCCACCGTCAAGCCCTTCCCTCTCTTGAACGCAATCGGCCCAATGCTCAGCCCACCCTTGGGAGCCACAGAGACTCACCCTCCACTGGTGTCCGGGGCTTCAGTCTCAGCGAGGCCCGGAACCGTGTCCTGTCATTGAAGCTCCAGCTCTTCTGCACCTTGGTGGGGCTGGAGGCCTCACTGACGTTCTCGGTGCTGGGGGAGCGGCGGAGCGGCGGGGCCAGGTGCTGCTTCCCCCGGCTGCCCTGCCTCTGGGAGCTGTTCAGGCGGATGCGGTCCTTGATGCCCATTTTGTTGCTGCAAAGGATTCAGGGCGGGGGAGCCATTAGGGGGCGCTGTGGGAAGCACGTGGTCTGGTGTGTAGGGGAAGTGCAGGCAGCCACCTGAAGGGGGCGCCAGAGAGAGTGGACTTGCTTGGCTCTTCCAGTACCGGGTGCAGTAAGGGGGAGCCTGCATCAGGCTGGAAGCAGCTCCGCTGTCCCCGAACCTAGCAGGCAACTCCAGTTGCCTTTCTTCAGTCCCCACCCCAAGAATCCAACAGCAGTCACCAACTGTGTTGGGAGTCCCCCTAGAATCAAACTGAAACCTACTGCCTAGCTATTCAGGAACAGGGGAAGTATTACTTGCGAGAGGGGAGGGCCCCTTTATTCCCTTCGTGTTTATTCTGAAGGCACGCAAGAGGTCTCTAAGGCATGGAATCAAAGGGCTGAACAATAAATTAGGGCTGAACGTATGCTGGGACACACACACCTAGTGCTACAGTGGCTCCAAAATCAAACCTCCCCCAAAGGAAGCTTCTAGTCTGCATCATTACTAGGGCATATTTAAAAATGAGCAGACTTTTAGTGAATTCTGAATAAATTTCCAAGTGGCCAGATTTCAGTACCCTGAACAGCTCCTAACTCTCCCTCTGATTTGCAGCAGAATTAATTGGTGTAAAATAAAGTTCATGCAGATGTATAAAGGGCTGAGATTCTGGCTTGCATGATATGGGTCACCCTCGTGCAGAATGTTACGTATACATTTCCAGTACATACAGCTTTGCCGCAAAAGATTAGCATCTGCTTTAACGGGAAGGAGGACAGAGGAAAGCTATGGAATCCATGCAGGGCCACAACACATGTCCAGAGCATTACTGAGGTACTTACGAGACAGGCTGAAAACAAGCACACAAAGAAAACATGAACCATTAAAACAACCAACAGACAAAGAGTTTGAAAGACACCGCTGGACAAAGGAGGCCTGTAGAGATGTTTGGATGTCTGGTGAGCATAGCTGTCAGGCAGCTAAAAGAAGAGCCTGCCTTGGGCAATGTTCTCCCTGAAGAGAGAACATCTCTCTGATTGGAAGCCATGGCCTCCAATCCAAGCAAAGGCGTCTTTGCAAGGAAGAGGGTGATTTTCCCAACATGCATCTTGGGCAGTATCTGCCACCAGCACATCAGGAAGTTAGCATTTCCTGACAGAACTGGGGGTGTGCAAATACTCCTTTGCAGGACCTGGTGGGTTGTGGGGCTTGCAAAGTGCCCACGCTGCTGACTGGAAACATTCAAGGAAAGATTTTTTGGGCTCATTTCCGGGGAAGCAGACACTTCCCAGTGCACGGGTGGTTCATCCCCCAGTGGAATAATGCATGCAGCTCAGCGAACGCCCCCTCCTGGAAAAGAGGTGCCTGCCTGGGAGAACTCCAAGCCATCCAAGAAGGACTAAGCTGGAGTATGATGCTGAACTTGGGACCCTGGGATACCCTGAGGCACCGGAAGTGGGTCTCGCTCTGCCCAGAAGGAAGGGGAACAAGACCCCCAGGAGAGCTGTGCATGTGCACGAGTATGTGTGCTCACACACCCTCACACACAGAGAGTTGTGACCCGGGATGTTTTGCTACTCCACACACCTCATCACATTACATGCTCCAGAGAGGGGATGGGTGGGTGGAGCCTAGCCTTGCATAGCAGGTGAGATACAAAAGCAATTGTGATTAGCAACAAGCATTGTATGAGCCCCCAAAACACAGCGCCATCATGGTGGTTGTGAACCATTCTACCTTCCATGGAGCCTGCCAGTTTGGGGACTGGGGAATGCTCTCAAGTGCACAGACTGGTTTGCTATAGCATCCACTGAGTACATACAGCCCTCTCTCTGCATCCATCTTCCCCAAACTGATGTCCTCCAGGTGCATTGGCCCACAAGTCCCATCGTTCTCAACCAGGATGCAAAGGGCAGCCCAACACAACTGAGGTACCAGTCTGGAAGATTGCCTACTCATTGCCAGGGATGACAGAGGGCTGCACACAAACTTCTCAGGAGTAGCCTAATTTTGACCGATCCCCCTCCTTAGTGTTTCTCCAAAGAAAGCTTGAAAACTTTGCTTGATAGTTTGAAATCTGTGATCTGCTGTGTTGGCACCCCACCTGCAGTGCCATGAGGTTCAAATCGGTTAGCTCAGTTCAGAAAACCTTAGTTGTTTTTCCAAACATCAGAAAATGGCATGGCAGCAGTTCTTTGGAAACATAGAAACAGAGCGAGTCAGAAGGGGTCTCCTGGGCCATCTAGTCTGACCCCTGGCTCCAGCCGGCTCCACTCATGACATGCCCACCATGTGCACGTCCAGCCTGTCCTTGAACACCCGCACCGGTGGGGCCTCAACCATCTCCGTGGAAGCCCATTCCAGACCTTGGGGTCCTAACCGTCAGGAAGTGCTTCTTGGCATCCAAATGGAACCAATGCTTTTCAAGGGCTACCAAAACTTGGTGGTCTCCACCGCACCTTGCCAGATGCTAGTGGGGGGCAGGGAGGAAGGGAACCGATTCACCTGATCTTCTCCCGCTTGCTGTTTATTTTCTCCCACACCAGTAGAGCTGGAGGGAAAGGAATTTTGGCAGATTGGGGTGGGGAGCAAGGAGAGGAAGTTTGTACACCTCAGTTGTAATCTTGTCTGGTAGGCATTCTTCTACTTTTGTGCTGCAAAATATTGCTCACCTCAAATAGTTCTTTCCCAATAAAGAAAATATTGGGTATGGAATGGGCCTCCACAGGAGGTGATTGAAGCCCCACCGGTGAGGGTGTTCAAGGACAGGCTGGACGTGCACATGGTGGGCATGTCATGAGCTGAGCTGGCTGGAGCCAGGGGTCAGACTAGATGGTCTGGGAGATCCCTTCTGACTCACTCTGTTTCTATGTTTCTATATTCTAGTAGGAATACAGAAAGTTTTAGGAGATGAGCTGTAACTGCCTGTCAATAAAAGAAAGCTAAGGCAGGAGTGCCTGCATCCAAAGGAAACACTTGTATCAGCCTAAGGGCTCCCTTTGGGCATAGGATGATGCATCGTTTGATGTATTAGCCTACAGGCTCTCCAAAAGCTTTCATGTGCACAAAATGGACGGCCTCATGGCGCACCACATCTGCATATAACAGGCAGAGAACAGGCATATAACAGGCAGAGAACAGGCAGAGAAGACTCCCACTCCGGGGATCCCATTGCATTCCTGGCAATTCAAGCCCAGTTTCGGGAATCCAAGAAGCCCCAGTCAGGTCTTCTGAACCTGAACAGGGCCAAAGCTGTGACAGCCAGGGAGGAAAGCCACAAAACCCCCACAGGCCTGCTGAAAATGCCTGCCCACGAGGCTGCCCCACACGGCTAGCCATGCCCCGGAGTGGCTGTGCTTCCTGCCAAGAATGGAACACAGGCTGCTGGGGCTGCAAAGGAGCTGCCTGGTGCAAGGGCATTTTCACATGGGTGCAGGGCTACTAACTGAATGTGTGAACTGGACTCGAGGCAGGGCAGATCCAGTGGTGGGGAATGGCCCACTAGGGCCGCAGCCCCAAAGCTATGGGGGGCCCTGCCCCTGCCCTCCATGGGCACTTGGGAAATGAGGTGCAGGGGCTCCAATGAGCTCCCACGGCTGGGCTGGCTCTTTGCCCACCATGCTGCACCTTCCTTCATCAGCCTCCTGAATCTGAGGTTGGCTGTTTTCCAAAAACCCAAAGGCCCTTCTTCGCTTGCGGAGATGTCCCTCAGTATGGAGAGGAGTGTCCTTGGGAGACAAGCGCCTGCGAAACGCACAGACACTGCGGCAGAGGCCAGACTTGGCATAGGCAAACAGTGCTTGTTTTCTTGTCCCGTTAGCCTGAGCCTGGGATCCTTTCTGGCATCTAGCACAGCCCTCCAATCCCAGGCCACCTTCCCTACAGACAAGGCCAGCCAAAGCGGCTGTGAGTGCTTCAGGCAGATTTGGCCGACCAGCTTTCCACTCTAAAATATTCAGATGGAGAATGTGAGCCCTTGAGAGAAAGAAGCAAGGATTTTTTTCTTTTGAAATCCGCTTGAGAGAAAGGAAGGGTTTTGCTGTACGGCTGGCTTCAGATCAGTCCTGTAGCCCTTGCAAAGCCCTCAAAGCCCTTTTCTCACTCTCGGCACATGGCTATTTGTGAGCAGCGCCTCATGCCAAGCCAGGAAATCACGTCTCATCAGCAGTGGTGACTTCCATAATGTAAAATGGACGTTTCAGAGTCTGCTAGCCCATGAAAGCTGCACGTGGTCTCCGGCTTACTGTGCACCAAGCTCTTTCCTGGTGGAGAGCTGAGAGCTCTCTCACGCTGAGAGGTCCGCATGCCTGGAGGACCCGGGCTGGAAAAGACCCCTGCAGAGGTGGTCGGACTGCAGCTCCAGCCCAGCTAGCAGTGAGGCACGAGGAAGGTGGCCGTCCAGCCACCCCTGGAGAATCATGGCGCCTACTCCCACTTATGTGCATTGCAGAAGGTCTTGTTAGCATGAGCCACCCATTCCGGCACAGTGCTGAGCACATGCCTCCCAGGTTGCACTGCAGCCCTGCCAGAACAGAGAGGAGAGATGGATCCATCCACAGACCCTCAGCAGACCATCCGGAAATCGCACCCTCATGCCAGGCTCAGATCTGTCCATGTGCTCCTCCGGCTGTACCAGCAGGGCAGTTCCCCACCTCCAGGGCCAGCCCACTTGTCTGCTGCTCCCACATGCGTCTCAGCTGACAAAAATAACTTCAGGGCCAGGCCACGTGCGAAAGTTTTGACGAGCCCAAGGTCTTTCTTCAGTGAAAGTTGGTTTGGCAGTGTCCCCTCGCCCCACAACCAATTGCCAGGCTTAATTCCATGGCTGCAGCCCTTGAGAATCAGGGACCTGCCACCAGCCTTGCCTGGGGGTCTTTGGATGGCGGGTGGCTAACCTGGTGGGAGCAGCACAGTCTGGGTCTGCTGTCTTCTTCTGGAGACAGGGATATGGTTTGGAGCCCATGTTGGGATCTGCACACCCAGGCCACATGGGGCCAGATCCTCGAACCGGGCCCACGCTGCCTGGGCAGACACCTGTCTGTGAAGTTCTTACTGGCCCCAAGAGTTATTCCAGGACCCATTTGCAGCCAAGCACCCACAGGCAGGCAGGCCTCTAGGGCAACTTTGCAGGAGTTATTCATAATGGAATGTGAGGAAATTCCACTTCCTTCCTTTGAATGGTTTGCTTTTGTCTTTCAATGGGGGAAGGGAGGTTCGGAGCAGAGGGCCAGGCACACACCCGAAGCAGCAGCTGGGCTCCTGAATGAGATTTTATTCACAGCTGGAGTGATGCTGCAGAGGGGCTGAAGTCCGAGAGCCGCTGTGCCTCCATTTGTTTGAATGAAAGGAATGCAGAGTTCCTGGCGGATCATGCCCTCTGTCTCTCCAGGAGCACAAGGTCTTCTCCGTCGAAAAAACCTCTGCCTGGGCATGTGGAGTATGAGTGCTGAGGGGGAGAAGGACACAGGAGGCTGAAATTCCCTGTGAGGGACAGTCATGCTGCCACAGGAAGTTCCCCGGGGATACGGCTTCCTCGCTGGGTGAGTCCCTCGGACAGCCTTCCCCGCTCTGTCCGGATGGACAGCATCAGTTCAAGGGGAACTGCCCCAGAGGGGAGGAGGGCCGCTGGGCTTTCCCCTCTTGTGTGCTTGGAAAGAGCCCCCATCCTGAGAAGATGACTGGCAGATCCAGCTGCAGCCTCTTGACTGAGCCAGCTGTCTTCTGGAGGGCACTGGCCAGGCTAGAGAGAAGCTGGAGAAGCACTGAATGGAGCCTGGGAGCCCCTCAGCCATCAGACACCCCCGGTTTTAACCACAGCAGACCTGCTGACACCTTCATGCAACAGGCCACCGGAAAAGAGATGGGGCGGCAGTCTTGCATGGCTCCACCATGTCAGGATCACCACTCAAAGGGGCAGCTGAGGAAGGAGCAGCACAGCTCCTGCGTGCCCAGATGTCAATCGGCCCATGAGCCCAGAGCGCCTGCTGCAGGTGGGAAATGTCTCTGAGACCCGGCGGGGTAAAACTGCTCTTTGGCATAGGGCTGGTGGGCCTCAAGGGCAGAGCTGGCTTGGGGGGTTGGGCCTCGCCCACAGGACTTCCAAGGAAGATGCAAAATAGCAGGGAGACAGACCCAGCTGGGAGGGAGGCTCTGCTACTGGCCCCACCCCGACCCATCCCGGACCTTAGAGGCGCCCCCTCAGAGTTCCAGGGGATGCCTCTCTGGAATCTCCTCCAAGCTGGCCCCTTGGGGAGCACAGCCGATTCTCCCTGCTCTATTTGCCACTGGCCGGATGCATTCATCATTCTGAAAATGAGCACACGCTAGGCAGCCCATCTCCTGCTCCTCTGGATGGGCAACTGTCAACCCTGTTGAAGGAGTGGCTGGTGCCGGGCTGGGAGGGGTGCAGAAAGCCAGGAGAGGCAGTCTGGGCGGGACAAGTGCCAGCGCGTCCCGCAGAAGGCCGCACGGCCCCTCCCTCCTCGTCTGCAGTCCCAGTAGGGCCCGCCACATGCATTTGCTAACTCTCCCCCCGAAGCTGCACTGGAGACATGGCAAGCGGCCACGAGGGCACAGCCGGGCCCCCATCACAGAAGGGCTTCGTTGCAAGACAGCGAAAGGCCTCGGCCGCCACCCCAGCCATGCACTGCGCCACCACGTGCCGTGCAGCATGCCCTTCAACGGGAAAGCGGGGTTGGATCAATCGTGATGCAGCTAGAATCAAGGAGCACTTCAACCCCAAAACATCTCCTGGGTAGCAGTCCCAAAGCCTTGGTACCTCTGTTTCCAGCCGGTATGAATCCGAAAGAAGTTCCTTTTATTACTAAAGATCTGGCTAAAGAGATGGGAAGAAAGGAAAAGAAAGGAAAACAAAAGAAAAGGGAAGATAAGAGGAGGGAAAGAAGGGGAAATAGTTAGTAGGGGTGCAAGAAAAATGTTAGAGGGGTGATCCAGGGGAAAGAAAGCCATGCTGAGGCTGGCAATACTATGCATGTGCCCCACCTGCAGGACTCTTGCCCAGTGGCTCACTAATTGCCCCCAGATTAGCCCCAGCCTTGCTTTTGAGCCCTAATTGACATGAACGGACACAGGCCACATCATTTGCTATCACACATGTACAGGGTGAGCATGTTCTTCATGGTGAGCTCCTATTGGAAGCACATGCCTGCGAGGGAAGTTTGGCCACACGCTCATTCTGTGGGGTGAATGGGAGGGCTGATGAGCAGGGGGGAGGGGGGCAGCACCAAGCTCACTGCCCCGCCAGTGACTGTGTTTGCCACAATCTCCCTTCTGAGAAGCCAGCCCTGCAGCCCTCCTCTGAACAGCTGGCAGCAGCCTGCATTTTGTCTCTTCACTTTGCTCTTGCATGTCTGGGACGGGCCAATGCACGGCTTTGCAGGCAGTCTTCCACCGACCCTTCTGTCAGGAATTACTCTACAGGTGTAACCTGTCTCTGGCCGAGGAGAGTTGGCACTGAGGGACCCTACTCCTGTCCACCAGCTGCAGGTCAATGCTTAAGATGGCAGGATCACAACACCCGCCCATGCTTAAAACCATCTACCCTCCAAAGGAAGTGGATGACATTTCTTACACTGATCATTTAGACCGGTGCTCCTCAGTATGGTGTTCTTCAAATATTTGTATGACAACTCCCAGCATGACCACAGGTGAGATGGAGAGGAATTGCAGTCCAAAGCATCTCGAAACGAGGGAGGGAAGGCTGCTCTAGTGTGGAAAGACGCCTGCCCGCACTCTGCATGTACGCACACACATTCAGACATACGCACAGATATGCGTGACGAGATGGCCCGGGAGGCCCCTTTAACTCACTCAGCTTCCATGTTTGCATGATTCTGTTCAGACATACTGGCTAACTCTGGCTTGGAAGGTCTCCCCCAAAGCAGGAGTTACAGTTCATAGAACTTCTGGAGGAAAACCTACCGTCTGGTGGTCTCCCTTTTTGGCAAGAGGATAAAAGCAGAGACCGCAGCTTTAAGGGAAAGGTTACCTTAGGCGCAAACACTTGTGGGGTGGAGCATCTTCTTCTTTCCAGCTTTGGGAAACGAGCAAAGAATGGTGAAGTGATGGGATGGAAGAGAGAGGAGGAGGGGTCAAGGGAGGCACAGAAGAGGAGAGAGAGAAAAGATGATGAAATGAGGCAGAAACACCACGGACACTTGATGCGGAAGCTATACAGATCCTTTCACCATCAAGAAAGTTGCCTTGAATGCTTTGGTTCTTGGGAATCAGAGCAGGGGCCACACCTGTGCTAGCAAACCTGAGCCCGCCGTTCGCGAAGAGGTGGCACAAGTCATACAGGCAGAGCGGGACTGTGGCTGCATCACCTGAACTTCTCCACTGAACGTGCCCCCATTGAACTAACCGGTGCCAGCGGAGGATGCAGTAGCGGGCTCCAGCTGGCCGAGGGAGAAAACGCGCTGTGCGTCTCTGAGTGCTCCCTGACATGGCCAAGGCAGACCCAAGCAAAAGCAAGTCAACTCACACCACATCAAAGGCAAAGAGGAAATCCAGAGGGGATCAGCGGCACACGGAGGACCCAGAGCCCACACAGCGGAGGCAGAGGCGGAGAGAATGTGAGAGGACACAACGGGCACAGCAACTCGCCAGGAACCCTACCTTTCCCCCGAGCAACATGGAGGACTGGCAGCTCTCAGGCCCGAGGTGAAGGAGTGATATGGCGGCGGAGCTCCATCGGGGAACTTCCTCACCTCTGAGTTCCTGAGCGCTCCGTTGCGAGCTCGGTGCAAGTGGTCAAACATAAGGACCAGTTCTCTAGGGGTGGGTTTGAATAAAAAAATGGGGAAATTAAAAGCTTTCCAATGAGGGACAGGGAGGAGAAACCAATAAACACAAGAATCAACAAATGGAAAACAAAAATGGAAGGGGTGGGTTAAAAACAAGAAACAAAAGCAGGAACGGATGGCTGTTCCACAGTTCTTTCGTTCGCTGGATTGCTCTGGCCAAGGGTGTGTTTTAGCTAATGCCTCTTGCTGAAACGGGGGCTGAAAGATGTTGAGGGTTAGTAGCCTTCCCCCACCAGGCACCCCCAGGATCTGTTAGACTACATCTCCCATCACTCCAGCTAGCATGTCCATTGGCCATGGTGGCTGTGGATAATAGGACTTGAGGTCTAAAAGATCCAGAGGGCGCCTGTTTGGAGAACGCTGGATTGTGGTGTTCCAGCTATGGATGGGTAAGAATTTCTTTTCTATTCAGTATTTGTAAGATTTTCCCACAGTGTGCAAAGTTATCCGTATCCGGGACAAAAAGAAGCTAAAAGTTTAAAGTGGTGAATATGGAAGAAACCAGATCAATCCACCCTGGCCCAAGGCTTTCAGCACATTGACCTTAAACTCTGGGTTTGAATCTCCATGGAGCAAACCTTATCAGTGCTGAATTTGGGGTGCCCCTTTTTGCCTGTGAGGCTCCTCACCTTTAACAGCTGCATGGCACATCAAGGCCCTCTCCATGTTGGAAAAACATGTGCCTTAGGAATTTGGTCATGGCAGATGTGTGAAAATTTGCTTCAGTTCCTTTTTGTTAAGAAATTCCCCACATGTGCATTGTTCTTGCAATTTTATTTGTTTAAAACTGTGAGGTGAAGAACCTGAGATGTGACCCTAGGCCAGTCTAGACATTAAAATGCCTAGGATGGTGCCCTCCAAAATGCAAATGCAGGAGAAAGCAAAGTGGACAGGTTTGGGCATTGCTGGTCCCAACAGCAATATTTATTTATTTATTAAATTTACATCCTTCCCATTAGCCAAGATAAGGCAAGTCAAGCCCTTGCAGCAGGGGGGACGGGAGTGGGTGGGCTTTGTAGATTAGATCTGTAACCTTTTCCATAATTCTCCTCCTCCTCTTGCTCTTTTCTTCACAACCACCCTGTGAGTTGGGTCAGCCTGAGCACCTGTGACTGGCCCAAAGGAGGGAGTTAGAACCTGGCTCTCCAAAGTTCCAGATTCCACTCTTAACTGCCGCACCACACTGGCTCTCAATTCTGTGCACAACTCAGAAGTTCGGGTTGGTTGTGCACCTCACTGGATCTCACAGTCTGACATTTTTCAGTACCACCGAATCCAGTGGGGCCCACATTTCTTCTCACAAGTAGAACTGTGGCAGTACTTTATGAACACCTCAGCATCCTCCCCACTGCCCACGTCCCTCCCCCAAAAGCAGCTCTGCACTTCCCTGGACCAGTGCTCTGAGCTGGTGGAGGTCCGTTTCTGACCTTCCCGGGTTTGGCAGACCGCCTGAAGTGATGCAAAGCACCGAGAAGCATATTGGAGCAAAGGCAAAAGTGGCGTTAAGAGCACCCCAGGCAGACATTCCTCTTTCAAGCCACCTTCAACACTCCCTTGAGGTGCAGAACTATCCTCTGCCTCCAGTCATAATTGCACCAGGGCAAATGTCCTTGCCCCTTTCCCTAGCCAAGCACTGAAGAATGACGTTCACCCACATCAGGACTGTGACGTGATTCCTAGAGGAGAAGGGAGCACACCAGCTGTGTACATGGGCTTACCAGAGGGACGGTGGCCTCCTCATTTTGACACCTGCCTGAGATACTCTCATGGCAGGGTAATGCCAGCGGGGCTTTTCTTTGATGTGCAGGGGGTGGCCTGGTCCATGCAAGCGCTTCCGAGTTCGGCCCCATCTCTCTCTTTTGCCAGTGGGATTGTCAGAAATGCAGGCACCAAGACGAGGCTTTTTTGCCATGGCACCAAAGATCTGGCCACAAGGGCGGAGGATTGCTAGCTGTTGGCCACGATTCATCCTTAAGACAGTTCTGTGCTGCTGCTGCCGCCGCCTTTTGGGCTTTTTTTGATGATTTCTGTTTGGCATTTTTATTGTACTTTTGGTTTAGAAAGATTGCGAGCTGCGCCAGCTGCTGATTGCTAGAAAGGCAGGGCATAAATGCTGCAAGATAAATAAAATACATACATCTCCAGGGCCGTCATAGCCCTCTGCTTATGACCCTGGAAAGAGACCACCAAAGCAGAACAGACTGAAGACTCACAACAGGGCAGCCTCATGCAGCTGGTCCCTGCCAAGGCATCGATGGCTGTGAAAAGGATCGGGCCATCTTCTCTGCAGCTTCTACCCCCTGCGCAGGCCTTGGGACCTACTCTGTTCTGGTGCTGGCAGCAGGGAAGAAAGGCTACATGTTATGGGAAAGGTGGATGAGTTAATGAGGTGTGATGATGAGGCTGTGAAATCTACACAGGCACACACAACCCGACAGGTGTTTGGCTGCACCCTTCTATGAACCCAGAGTAAACGGCACGCTGCAGAGACAAGCATCGGAAAGGTGGCCGAGCAAAACCCCTGATGACTTCGGCCCCAGACCTGTTCCCAAGCCCCCTCCTGTGCCAGTGAATGGCTGGCAAGTATTCCAGCAGAGGCAGTGAACGGGGGAGTACTTGGGGGCTGTCAGGGAGAGTGTGGGGAGAATTCCGGCAGAGGCACTGGCTGTTCGGCCCCTGCTTGGCAGCGGCAAATCACTGCTGTACGGTGACATTTCCCCCAGATTAATTTCCCGCATAAACTCACCTTGCGTTAGCCCAGGGACCACCCCCACTGGTTGTGGCCTATTAAAGAGCAGCTCTTGAGTACCTTCTACCGACCTCCAAGTGAAGCGAGGACGAAAAGCCTGGCCAGAAAATGCATCTGCAGTTCCCTGGGGAACCGCTTTGCCTGTCGCCTTGAAGAAGCGGCATGGAAGCGGCAAGGGAGGGCAGCAGAGCCCCCGAGGGTATTTGGTCCAAGCAGACACCACCACAAGCCAAGAGCATCTGTGGGAACCACGAGCCTCGTGCAACGTCACACATACCTAAAATGTGGCAAGATGCTGTCGTAATAACACCAGGTGGCAGTCAGGTAGGCCCGGCTGACATCTGTTGAGTAGAGGCGCCATGCAGCCTGCGGCAGTCAGGGTGGAAGGTGCGGCAGCGGGGAGAGAGAGAGACTCTTTAAGCATTCTGCTCTTCACGACTGTTATGCATGGATGCCGAACCTGCGACCTTTTCGAGTTATTTTCTTACTTATTTGGGTATTTTTATCCCATCCAATTACGTTGCACGTCTCTGGACAGCTTACAAACTAAACACCCAGTAAATACATATAAACCCATAATTATCCATGACTGAGCATAAAACATAGCTAAAATATTTAAACATTGAAATTACGGGAAAATAAAAAGGTCTTGACCTGGCTCTGAAAAGCATATGTCGCCGCCAGGAGGTCCTCTCTAGGGAGCGCATTCCATAGCCAAGGCGCCACTGCAGAGAAGACCCTCCTCCGAGTATTTTCTCTCCTAACCTCCTTCAAGGAGGGTTCCTGGAGCAGGGCCTCTGCTGCAGATCTTAAGGGATGGGTGGGCATGTGGGGAAAAAGACGTTCCTTTAGGTATCCTGGTCCCAAGCTGTTTAAGGCTTTCTAGGTCAATATCAGCACCTTAAATTGGGCCCAGGCTTCCATGGGAAGCCAGTGAAGCTGATAGAGGACCGGTGTTATACGAGCATAATGACCAGCCCCCGACAGCAATCTGGCAGCTCTGTTCTGAACCAAGTGAAGTATCCGGACTGTCTTTAAGGCCAGCCCCACGTAGATCGCATTACAATAGTCCAACCAGGAGGTTACCAGGGCGTGTGTCACCATTGTTAGGCAGTGCTCGTCCAGGTAAAGATGCAGCTGATGGATCAGCCAAAGCAGAAGGAAAGCGCTCCTCACCACCATTGCCACCTGGGCCTCCAGGGATAGCTCCGGGTCAAGGAGCACTGCCAAGCTGCGGCCCCTGTCCTTTAGAGGGAGTGCAATCCCGTACAGGACAGGGCCAAAGTCAATCACCTGGAAACCTGAACCACTTACCAAAAGGACCTCCATCTTATCTGGCTTGAGTTTCAGTTCATTGGCCCTCATCCCGCCCATTACCTTGGCCAGGCACCAGTTCAGGACAGCCACTGCCTCACCTGGGTTAGATGCAAGTGAGAGGTAGAGCTGCGTGTCATCTGGGTACTGATGATTCCGCAGCCCAAACCTCCTGATGACCCCTCCCAGCGGTTTCAAGTAGATGTTAAATAGCAAGGGGGACAAAATGGAACCCTGCAGGACTCCATGGCAGAGTTGCCATGGTGCAGAGCCACAGTCCCCCAGCACCACCTTCTGGAATCAGCCAGCCAGGTAGGTACAGAGCCACTGCTAAGCAGAGCCTCCTATTTCTAACCTGACCAGCCTGTCCAGAAGGATACCATGGTCGATGGTATCGAAAGCTGCTGAGAGGTCCAGGAGAACCAACAGGGATGCACTCCCCCTGTCCCTCTCCCTGCACAGGTCATCACACAGGGAGACCAAGGCAGATTCAGTACCATAACCAGGTCAGAAACAGGACTGAAATGGGTCAGATAATCAGTTTCATCCAAGAGTGCTTGGAGTTGTCCCGCCACCACCCGCTCTAACACCTTGCCCAGAAACGGGATGTTGGCCACTGGTCTATAATTGGCGGCCACCTCTGGGTCCAGGGACACCTTCTTCAGGACGGGTCTGATTACTGCCTCCTTCAAAGGGGAAGGGACCCAGCTCTCCCTCAGAGAAGCGTTAATCCTGGACCCAGGTACCAATTCCGTGTTTGGCTTTGGTAAGTGGCCATGAAGGGCAAGGGGCGAGCAGGCAGGTGGTGGGGTGTGCCAGTCCAAGCACCTTGTCCACATCATCAGGCCGCAGCAACTGGAACTCATCCAACAATGATGGACCCAGTGGAGCTCTGGATGCTTCCCGTAATGGAACCCTATCAACTGTGGAATCCAGCTTGTGACAAATCTGAGCAATTTCCTCCTTAAAATGCTGGGCAAAATCGTCACCGCAGGCTCTCGATGGTGCCACTGGATCCTTTTTAGGGCCAGAGTTCATCACGCCATGCACCACTCGACAAAGCTCTGCTGGATGGCACTGTGAGGAAGCAATGGAAGCAGAGAAGAATTGCCTCTTCGCCACCCTCATCGCCACAGCATAGGCTCGATAATGAGCACTTAAGCGTGTTCAGTCAGATTCATCCCGTGATTTCCTCCACCTGCACTCTAATCGTCTCCCAGCCTGCTTCATCACCTGTAACTCAGGTGTATACCATGGTGATGAGCGGGCTCTGCCTGGTGGGAGAGGATGCTTAGGAGCGATCGTGTTGATTGCCCTGGTCATTTCCCCACTCCACAAATCAACCAGAGCATTGACAGGAGCACCAGTTTTTTCAACTGGAAAACCCCCCAGAGCCCTGAGGAATCCATCAGGGTCCATATGGCTCTGGGGGCGGACCCTCTTAATAGGGTTCACACCTTACGGAGGGGAAGGTTGACCCCAAGCTCAAACCTCACAAGGAAGAGATCTGACCATGACAAAGGAGTTAAACACAAGTGTCTCACTTCCAGATCACCATCTTCCTGCCCCTTCGCCAGAGTGTGACCTCTTTCATGGGCTGGGCCGGACATGTTGTGACAGCCCCATGGAAGCCATGGAAGCCATGAAGTCCTGAGCCGCCCCGGTCAGAACAGCCTTGGCATGGAGATTGAAGTCCCCCAGAACCGACATCCTGGGGGTCCTCAACACCAGGTCTGAGACGATCTCCGTCAGCTCAGGCAGGGAGTCTGATGGGCAGAAGGGTGCACGGTACACCGGCAGAATCCCCAATCTGTCTCGATCGCCCAACGCTAGGTACAGACACTTTAGGCTTGGTCTAAAGTGTCTGTTCCTAGGCACTTTAGGCTTTCCCGTGAGGGAAATTGAAGCTCGATGAACCAGGGCAACCCCTCCCCACCCCCCAGGGCATGGCTGGTGCTGGATCAGGTACCTGGACAGGCACAGCTGAGTAAGAGAGACATCCCCCCTTTCTCCCACCCAGATCTCCGTAATACATGCCAGGTTGGCCTGCTCATCCACGATTAGATCATTTTATTGTGGTTTATTGTGGTTCAATCGGTTTTACTGTGGACCGACCTGGCGTTCAACAACAGCACTGCCAGGCCCATGGGGCGGTTGATAAAACTACCTGGCACCCTCCAGTTGGGGGAATAACCAGAGGAGGGAACAGATACGAGACATCTGTCCATCCTTCTTCTTAGCTGACTTGTTAGACCCCCACCCCCATGTCTTCCCCTGCCCATTACCACCCCAATGGTGGTGCCTATGCTCCCCCCAGGCACACCCATAACAAATTAAAACCTAGCAATAACAATAAAGTACAGCTCAGTCATGGCATACAGTAAGATACAGTAACATACCACAGTAAGATACATTAAACTTAAAATCCCCTCCCCACTAACAAAAGAACAGAGTCCCTGGCCCAGCCCAGCCCCATACGGCCCCAAACAGGCCCCCTTGGGCTGTCACTCTTTGGCTGCCGGCCCAAGGCCACGGCAGGCGAGATACAGGCCGCAGCCCCTCCCTCGCAGTGGGCGCCTGCCCCCCGCCCCCGGTGTAGCTCCCACCTACGCCGGGAGTCGGGCAGTTGGAGCAGCGATATTGCGATACTGCGTTGCACAAGAGGCAGGACAACGCCCGCAGTACTTGCTGGCAGGATGCGCCTCCCCAGGATTGGGCCAACCAGGTTTCATAGCCACTGTTTTGCTTCCATCCTACTGAAGTAACACTCTGCTTCTCATACTGGTGACAGATCAGATGATTTTAAATTCTTGTGAGAACTGGGAAGTAGCTTGTGAAGATTTAGCCTCCTGGGACCCAGGTCACCCCTCCCCCGGCCCACCTCCTGTCCCACCGTTTCCAAGCTTTTGCAGTTCCCACTGCCCTGAAAGGTCGGCGTGCCTCTCCGAAGTCACAGTTCCTGGCAGAAAGACCTCTCAGCCACATGACACTGTCATTTCCTTGGGCATCTCCTTGCCTTCTTCACCTCGGACTCCTCTGGCCATCGCAAAGGGCACTCCCTGAGAACTTCTCTGAGAACTGACTTCATCTCTAGGACTGAAAGAGGTTCAACAACCCTGTCTTTTCAAACCCTCAATGCGACCTTTCTACATTCCCCACTTTTATAATGCGGACCCTCCCTTCCTGGAAGTGAACCATGGGCTCCTTAACCTGGGCATCCAGGGTAAAACCGAGATTGTAACCAAAATCTGAAGTGGCTTATCAAGTTATGGTTATAAAGGAAATGTTTTCACTAACTGTCGTTGGACACCTGTACAAAGTAAAAACAACATGTGTGATGCCTGGGACTTCTTTAGAGCATGGTGGTGCTTACGCATTTGGTTCCCAGCTGCAAACCACAGTATGCACCAGTTCAGAGGTCAGTGTCTGGAGGCAAACAGCCAGGTGACCCAGTGTCAGCAGCACGGTGCATTCAAGCCAGTCTTCAGCCTGAACCTTTAAGGGACTATCCCTGATACTGAAACCGGCCCACATTCAGCACCGTGGGCGGCCACCAGCCCCCACTGCAAGCAGCCCCTTCCACAGGAGTTCCGCACTTCACGCTTGTGCACTACGAGTTGTATCTCCTTGAGCCACCATCCCAGTCTTCTGCATCAGCTTTAGCTGAAGAGATGGCAGTTGGCGACCCCCATGCCTGCTGTGATTCTCCGCTTTACGGGAGTTGTCTATGCACTGCACTCCCCCCTCCCACACAAATCAGCCACCCACTGTGCTCCTGTCAAGCCTGACACAGGTGCTCTCCAGCATGAACATTCCTTCTCAGCCTCCCTTAATCTTATAGCTCTGTTTATGTTGGAACTATACCTTCACTAAAGGGCACCAGGTTAGGGAAGGCTGCTTGGCCTCATTACCCAATTTTGGGTGATGCCACTCAGGGGAAATATGCTGTGGAGAGCCAAGCATGTCCTGCAAAAATCACAGAGTACATTGACGGGGGGGGGGGGGAGCAAAGTTGAAGCCTGGGTGTGGAGCACCCTTGCATGCTTGGATGCTGATGCATTCAGCCGCCCACCTTCTTCAGATTGCACTACCTCTGTGCCATCAGCACAGTTCTGATGGCCAACATTCCTTTCCCAGGAGTTCTCAGCTTGCAGCTGCCCAACTTCTGGAGTTGTTCCTCCTGAAGATATTTCAGGCTATTGGAAAGGCAGTGAAGAAAACAAGATTCTGCAGAGAATTAATTACTGGGGAGAATGAAAGCAGGCAAAACCCCTCCTTAATCTGCAGCGCCAAGTGAGCCTTCTGAAATGGTGCTATCAGATGCAGGGCAGAGGAACCTCAGCTGCCAGCCGGAGCATTGCTGTCTCTGCGCGATTGCTTTGTGTGCCAAAACAAGGAGATGCGTCCCCGTTTTGTCTCGCCCACCATCCATTTGCAGCAGTCCCTTGTTCATCTTTCAGCCAAGCAGATGAATGACAACTTGGGAGCAGCGTTTCACGGTGGGACAGCAGGCGAGCTGCCAGGAGGACACTGCGAGAGGGGTGGGGGGGTCCCTTTTGTCACTGCGGCCCTCTGGACTGAAGCGATAACGAGGGAGTCACAAGGTGCCTGGACGCAAGAGAAGCCAGCTAGACAAAAGGCTGATATGCTGGACTTCGCCTGTGGGGGCAGGTTTGCTATTGCAGAAGGCACAGCTGATGGGGACTCAGCCAGACAAGTTGAACTGGGCCTGGATGGGTGCTTGAAGGAGGGAAAGGCAGGCTGAAAAGGAAGTCTTGGACGGGACAAGGATGTGCGGAGGTGCTCCCAAAATGTGACAAGCGAACTTTAGCTCCTGGGTTTCAGCCCTACTCGGATCCCCTCCACCCACCACTCTGCCTCTGACTCCTTGCGGAAGCATCCAGTACAAGGGGAAGCTCCTGGGTTCAGCCTTTAGCATATTCAGTTAAAGTGGTCTTAGGGGGCTGATGGTATACACTTTGCTACTCTGTTTACTGTGGCCAAGCCAACACTGAGCTAAAGATCTTGGAGAAAACATGGGCAGCAGATGTTCCTAGCTGGAGGTGTAGCAGAGTGAATCTGGAACCTTATACAAGCTGCTTTGCTAGGAGCTGTGGCCTGTCCCTCCTTGATCCCTGCTCTAGCTAGCAAAATGTAGCTTGCTCTGGCTGGCAGCAGCTCCCCAAGGACCCAGGCAGAGGCATGACCATTTCCCAGGGCTGCCACTCAGGGAAGATCCCCTTAATTACCAGGTACCTGGGGCCTTCTGCACAGAAGAAAAAGGAGTACTTTCTCCCATATTTTCCTTCCCTTTCTCTGTGATTGTCCTTGGAGACTCTTCTTGGGTGCTGCTACCCACAACAGCGCAATGGAGGGCTACACTCAAGCCTGGCCTCCCTTTGTGAAATGCCTGGCCAATTGCCTGCATTACCTTTCCATTCCAAGCAGGCATTTAACCCTTAATCTGCCCATCAACTATTCATTTTATTGCCTGTCCCACGTTATTTTCAATTTTAAAAAAGTTTTTAATGGTCCATATTGTATTTTTGGGGGAAGAGTTAATTTGTGGTTGCCTTATTTTATGATTGCCAACCATCCTGAGGACATTTGCCATATGGATGGTATGAAAATCCAATAAAAATGCATTCATCTGTCTACACTCAGGTATTGCCCTATTAGCTTCCACCAGGTCACATGGGGACCTATGTAAATATGCATAATTTATCTTATTTTGCACAATGTATTCTCATCTGGGTTGATGATTCAAACAGTGGTGGCCAGAGTCCACTCCGAGCAGTGGCTCAACTACACCCTTGTAATTGGGGTTGGAACCATGGACAGCTCCTTCCACACTTGGGCTGATGCCTGGCACACACACACCAGCACTGGGGTCACCAGGCGCTGCTGGCTTCCAGCAGGCGCTGCCCCCTTTCTAGCCAAACTTCACAAGTGCTGGTGCAAGGAATTTGCTTCAAAATCCTAACATCATGGCCTCTCTTTCACCTACCTGGATCAAGTTGGCAGCTGGTGTCCGTCTCTTCTCAAAATGCTTCTGCCGATGTTGCTCTTGGACCTTGAGAGCAAAGCCTGAACCCAAAATTCCCTGTATGGAGAGCACACATTGATTCAACATCTCAACAACAGCAGGGTGTGGCAATGACAGCTTAATTTCCAACCCAAGGGAGCCAACAATGTCCAGGTTTCTGCTTTCCTGGCTTCAAACATCTGGACCTGACTGGGCCAGGCAGAAGTCCTGGTTGTCTCCGTTTCTCCTGGAACCAAGGGGGCACATACCACATCCAGTCTGAAGACCCTTTGCAGTCTTTCCCTCCTTAGGAGACTTTTTTTGGAGGTTGAAAAAAAAGATGGGGAAATAGTGGAGATATACAGGCGGGTGCCAAGTGGGAGCAGAGCCACTGAGGGGCTTTCTAGAATCTCGTTTATGGAGCTGGATTGCCCCGTAAAAGCATCTTCCGGAAGCACCACGAAAAAATAAGTGCCAAGTAAGGCCACTTCCTTGCTTCCCAAGTGCTGCAGTTTTCTCAGGTTTTAACACCCTCCTGAGCCTCATGTGGAGCAGCTCCTACTCTTCGGCTGCCGCAGGCAACATCTGTTAACCGGGTTCCCCCCCCCAGCCTTGGGATCCTGATCTGAGTGAAGGTCTCCTCGATTCCCCAAATGACGGAGTAAAGCAGAGTGAAATGAGAGATCAGAAAACCATGACGGATGCCCAGGGCTTTCAACTAGCGGCATCTGAGGAGGTTCTCCTGACTCCACATCCTTTTCCCATCCCATACAAATGAACGGGTACTTCTGCTCCTTTCAAGCAACTGGAAAGGGACCCCAGTACTCAAGCCCATTGAGAGCCAAGGGCCACTGCAGCTGGGCCAGGGTAGGAGGGTTCCTGCCGCCCCAGGAAGCCCTGCCTCCCCGGCTCATCCACGCCACGTACCGCAGGCAGAGCGAAAAAGGAAATGCCCAGCAGGGCGAAGCAGGCAGCCAGCACCCGGCCCAGCCATGTCTGGGGGGTCTTGTCCCCATAGCCAATGGTGGTGAGTGTGATCTGGAAGCAGAGAAGAGACACCACGACTGTGTGTTTCCCACTGCTGAACAGAAGGAGCCCCCAGTGCCCCCCAAATGTTGCTCCCTTCTCCTATTTCATCCTTCTCTCGGCCGGTGCCGGGAGGCATGCTGGACTCCAGCCCCCAGCATCCCCCAGGCAGAGAGGCTCTCCGACTTCCTTCATCATCCTGCCATCCAGTCCAGCATTCAAAGCACACAGGAGACGGTCGCTGCTCGCCAAGCCTGGGATTCCCAAGGAGCCCCTCCAACTTGCAAGTTGGTTTCCTCTCCCCCACTGCCATTTCCCTGCCCTGTGCAGAAGTCCCAGCCAGATCAAAGGATGGCGGACTTACCGTGCCCCACCACAGTGAGTCTGCATAGGTGAGGAAATCTTTGTTGGCATCTTTCTCTGCCAGGTAGACAAGGAAGGAGGCGAAGATGAGGACCAGGAACCCAATGTACCAGGCTGTGATTAGCTCCTGCCAGGATAAGACCGACACAGAACATGCATTGTGGTGAGGAAATTCAACCACAACCTCAGGCAAAGGAGCCCGACTGAAGACATACTACGGCCAGCTAGCAAAGCCAAGTAGTGGGAAAGCCCTCCATTGCTTTTCAAATCAAGCTTTAGTCGTGATCTTAAGCCACTGAGGATGCTGCTTCCCTTGGTAAAATGGCAGAGCCCAACTCAAACCAAGTCATCGATGAACAGGTGGGTGTTCAGTCTGTCCACCCGAGGGCTAAAAGTGGGCGGGCATTCATGGACCGTCTCTCAGGCTGGCCAACCTTTCTGCATTGATGGAGGCTGTCAAAGAAATCTGGAATGGATTCAAAGGGCTCCAAGCTTCTAAGAAGCCAACCCTCAAGCTCTGTAATAGACTGGCTTTCCTGAGCCATGAGGATTCCACAGACTTTCAGAATTTAAAATATTTAATGAAACTGTATGGAAATTTAAAGAAAAATTCCTAAAATAAACAAGAATGTGCATTTCTCACACAGGCTGCAGTGTGAGAGCATGTATTTTGAGAAGATCCACAAATTTGGGCTTGCGCGTTTTCACTTTGGCTTGGATGCAGACAGAGACCTCCACGTGATCAGCAGGTGTCATTGCGCAGAAGTGTTCAAACATTCGCAGGCGGAGCCCCCTTCAGATCTTGCACAATGCAGGAAGGTTGAGGGTCTGGGGTCACCAAGAGCCCCCCAGCATGCGCACCCACCTCCTTTCCTGACCTTTAGCCCTCGTGGGAGCAGTCTGAATGCCACCGGGAACTACAGGGGGTGCATCCCAGGAGCCATTCTATGCTAGCTGTTCCTGACCTGATGCCCTCCATGCATCTTGGACTGCAGTGCCTGCCGTCTCCCAAGCAGTCGTGCTGGGAGCTGGAGTCTAGAGCACCTGGGGGACACACTGCTGGGTCAACTGTCCTAGCAGAAAAATTAATCCTGGCCACATCGAGAAAGAACTCTGGAACAACCTGCTTTGTGAGTCTGCAGTTGCCTGGCCATCGCTGTGCTTCTCCCAAGGGAATGTCGAGACCCACACAGATGCGGCTGCCCTGCCCTGATCTCCATCAGTAGCTTTCTAACCGTGTCCCCATCGGCTTTGTGCTGAAGGGCCCATGCAAATCTCCTGTGGGATCTCCCAGGCAGACTCGTCTAGGGTGTCACATCAACAGGGACACTGAGGAGGAGGAGACAGCCTCATGGGCAGGCAAATGACAAGCCCTCGGTTTGCAGAAGCACAAAAGCCCCCTCACAAACAACAAACCCCCACCCCTTTAAAATTAACCCCGGGGGAACCTGCCCCCCAGTAATCCAGCCTAATTGTGTCTGAGAGTGTGGGAAAGGACAATGCCGGGTGTAGGGCATGGGATGCCCTGACAGAGCCTTGTTTCCTGTCTCGGGAGTGGGCTGGCTGGGCCTTGAACCTTGCCCTGGAGTGCTGCTGGTAGGGGGCAAGGGTGCCACACAATCTTTCCATAGAGGCCTCTCTTGCACTGCCTGTTGCAGAGCTTATCAAGAAGCCCCGTCCCCCCCACATTTGGAGGATGCGCAGTCCACCCCCAGCTCTGTGCGCTTCCTCCTCCACTCCCACATCAACCACGGCTGCTCTCTCACCTTGCTGTGGGCGTAGACCACCGAGCCCAGGAGTTTCCAGGTGCCACCACGGCGGTCCATGCGCACCATGCGCAGGATCTGCAAGAAGCGCATACTACGCAGTGCTGAGGTAGCAAAGATGTTCCCCTGGGTGCCGGCAGCGATGACGGCCAGAGATGCAATGAAGACAATGAAATCTAGAGGAGAGGAGAGGAGAGGAGAGGAGAGGAGAGGAGAGGAGAGGAGGAGCACAGGTGAGGCCAGCGGGCAAGCCTGCCTTGGCACCGTCCTCCACCCATTCAGTGAAGCCTCTCTCTTTAAGGCAGGGCTGCTTAACTGCCCAAGGGCCAAATTCCCTCACAGGGAAGCCTCTGGGGCCTTCGAGCAGGTGGTGGGTGTGGCCAAACTGCCACCACCTGACCTATTCGAGCTTTAGTCTCCTCCTGCCTGAGAGTCAGTGGAGCATGGTGGCCAGAGTGCTGGACTGGGGCCCTGGGGGGCCCCACTTGGCCCTGAAGCTCACTGGGCACCTTTGGGCCAGTCACAGGCTCTCAGCCCAACCTACCTCACAGGATTGTTGTTGTGGGGCTACAGTGGAGCTATGTTGGTCATGCTGGGTATCACACACGAGGGAAAAGGGCAAAAGATAAATGCAATAAAATAACAATTGACCTGGCCTTAGGAGAGGCACTTCAGCCTTTCAAAGTGCGAGAAGAGACTACACAAAGGCCAGGAGATCATCAAGCGAGGGGTGACCTGGGAAAAGGGGCGTGGGGCTAGTGACAGGGGCCTGGCCACTGAAGGGAAGCTAATTATCTGGAGAGCAAGGATCACCCCTTGGCCAAAGTTACACACATACGCCTGCAGAGGATTTGGCACTCTGTGGCGGTGGTGGGGGGCACCCCTCATTTATCGTTTTAAAATGAGGCTCCTTCCTTGAAATGGGATCACTGTGCAAAAGGGGAGGTTTTCTCTTTCTCAGTTTAGAGGTCTCCAAAGGCATTCTTACGGCAGACACGCAGAATGAGGAATGGGTGCAGGGATCGGGACTTCCAGTAGGTGGCGCCCGTGGTCTCCCATCGGTGGTGGAGCAGCACAGCTCAGCAAAAGGAACAGCATGGTGGGGTGGGGGGGGGTCGCTCAGTGGGGCAAAAGAAAGAGGTCGGTCCAGCCACACCTGTATGGGCTAGCTGTGGTCCTGCTCCCGCACTGTTTAACCTGAAGTTAAATGACACTGGAAACAGTCTAACATCTCCAGCATGTCATGCCCTTAAATTGGCTGCAAGATCTATCGCCATTCTTTCGTACAAGTGATGCTGTGCTCCCATTCCAAGCTGAAGTGGGCTTCGGAAGACTACTCAGGGCTAGCTGCGTGTTTCTGGCATCACAACCAGGCTGGGATGCCCCAGTTTCTGCTCTGGGAAACTGTTATTGAAACCCTTCTGCAGCCAGAAATCCTAAGGTGAAAGAGTTGAAGACCACCCAATGGGAAGACAGGGGACTGAATTCAGCTTGGAGATGTGAAGGTCCAGGTGACTGCCCCCCCCCCCCCCAAAGAGAGATTGAGAGAGAGAGAGAGAGAGAGAGCGCGCGCGCGCGCGCGCGCGCATGGACCTAGCTATTTCTGTCTTTTCATAAGGTTTGTTGGGGGAAAAAGGGTGGGCAGGAAAAATGCTTAGTTTTCCTTTTGTGGTGGTTGCTGCTTTCCCCACTAAGGCATCACTTCTCTAATCCAGCCCCCACCACTTCCCAAGCTTGCCTGGAAGAACCCTTTCCCCTTTATGACCCCACACATGTTCTTCAAGATGAAGCGACAATGCCTGCAAAATGCCTCCCTGAGCTGCTTGCGGGGTCACTCCTGCGGTGGGCACTAGAAAGGAAGGGGTTAAAGAGTCATTTGCCCCAGTTGCCTTGGCAGCATCAAATCCACAGGGGTGGCTCATGCCACTGCCATTTTGGGCCTGGCTTAAATCAAAATGCAGCAACCGGTCAAAACCAGCTAAGTGACGCAGCAACTACAAGCGCGTCTTTGGCTATTCTGGACTTTGGAGCCAGGCTTGGCTTCCGCCCGGGTGTGAAAAGCTAGGGCAGGGCTACCCCTCTTGGACTTTTCTGCCACCTCTACCAGCACCTCCACCACCATCAAATTCTCTGCAGGGTTGGTGGCAAAAACCACAACCAGAAAGCATCCAAAATGGAAGCTGTGATATAAAGCAAAGAACCGGAATAACCTTTCCAGACAACATGTTGCCTTCCCTGAGTTGTTCCAAATGCTCTGGAGAACCTTTGTGCAGAAATGCTTCCTGCATCACTCTCAGGTTTACAACAAGGAGTCTTGTGGTGCCTGACAAGGCGAGCACATTAATTAATTCTGCATAAACTTTGCACCAAGTCAGACCCCTGGCCCACCTAGCCCAGTTATGTTGGCACTGACTGGCAGCGGCTCTTTGGGGTTCCAGGCGGGAGTTTTTCCAGCTTTCCTGGATGTGCTGAGGATCAAAGTCCGCTGAATTACAGCCCCTCTTTGCATGGACCCCTTCATGCACCACTTGACCAGGTGCATGAAGAGTGATGGAGACTGTCGTGTGCCTGGGCAGGGTAGACTCAGCAGCGGTACCGCAAGAGCTGTGAACTGCGGGGCCAGAAGGGCCTTTCCATGCAAGCTCCGTCAATCGCATTATTTCGAGCAGCCATTCTCAAAGCACATCTGGGCAACTGGCGAAGCAATTAACACGAGGCTGCGGGGATACCTTGCAGGGGCAAGAAGCCAAGGGCAGGAGGAAGGAGGTCTGTGGGCAGAAGCTCCAGCACGGCAGGTGTGTGTACTCACACCTTCCCTCAGTGAAGAGGGGCCCCCGGTGAGCTCTCTTCTGCCCTTTCCCCTTCCCTACCCCTTTCGTGTCACGTCCTTTTGATCATACGCATTGATTTGATTGATGGGCAGCCCAGCTTTCTACCAAATGCGACATTCGGCATGGCTGTTGGATTATAAGCCTCCGGGAAAAGGCCAGCTGACTTTCCCTGACTCTATGTAAGTCTTCTTGGCTAGAGGAGCAGGAAAAAAGTCTGTTCTTTAAAGAAGCAAATAACTTTTGGTAACTCTTCATGCATCTGATAGTGGGTTAAAGTTCACAGAAGCTACTGCCAGAGTAAGCACGTTGGTCTTTCAAGTGCCACGAGGCCCCTTGCTGGTTCTGCTGCCCCGGGAATCCCTCGCATGCAAGCCCAGATTCAGACAGGCACCTCTTGCCGTTTGCCTCCCGTCCAGAATGCGGCAAAGCAGGCGCCAGGTGCCAGTGGCACCGCGAGGGCCTACCTATGACGCAGAAGGGCTTCCGGGCAAACCGAAAGCAGCCCTGCCAGCCTCTGTAGCGACAGCAGCAGCCCGCCGACCACACGCGGATGATGTACTCCAGCCCGAAGACCACAATCATGACGAACTCCTGCAAGGGGTGGGGAAAGAGACAGAAAAATCAGGGGTGGGGCTGGCAGCAGGCGGCTGGGCAGGCTGGAAGGCAACCATCCCAGTGAAAGGAAGCAGCCAGTGCAGGTGGTCTCCTTCATTCCGAGCTCTCAGAATTCCTGGGAGGAGAGCAGGGGCAGGTCGGATGTTCCCCCAGGAGGGCTGATTAATAGGAAAATCCAAAAGGCAAAGAAAAGCATTCTCCTAAGAAACCATGAAATTCTCTCTCCTTAGCCTCAGAAATCATGAAACTAGGAAATTCACATTTGGAGAGGGATGCTAATCTGGAGGATTTTCAGAAAGAATTAAAAGTTAGGGCTGAGGATATTTCTGCCCATTACCAATTGCTGTAATAGCTGAATGGAACCTCCAAGTTAGGGAGCAGTCTACCTTTGAATCCCACCTCTGGGGAAAAACAGCAAGAGAGCCCTGCTGCCTGCCGGCCTGGAATTCCTGGGGAGAAATCCTGATCAGGAATCTCAGCAGCTGAGAACATGGGAGTCGCTATGGGCATGTGGCCAGTGGGGGTCAATTCATCCCCCACATGATCAGGCTCAGTAGCTCACAGCTCCACCCAGAACGCCAAAGAAAGGCTCTGTCTTTCTGGAGATGCTGCGAATTGAACCTGGCACCTTCCGCACACAGGGCACGTCCTCTCTGAGCCTCAGCCCATCCCTTCCAGCTTCCTGGGTCTCACCAAAGGTCCACCGGCGCCCACACCGCCTTGCCCTCAGCCCATCTGCACAGCCCCCCATGTCCCTCCACGACCCCTCTAAGCATGAGTCAATAGAGCCACGTTTTCCTGCAGTCAGCTTTTTCAATGTTTTGGTGTGTTGCACAAACAAGCCCCTGTTTTGCTTACTGGAGGGAAAAGTCACACGGACCTTCTTAATTTAGTCTCCATCTCTCCCGAAAGAAATCCAGCGTCAGCTGTCCCTGACAGTTTGGGGTGAGCTGCATTTTTAAAGGTCCTGGACTTGGTCCTCCTCCTGCCCCCAAGTTGCCAGTCGAATTTTCTGTGGCATCCAGGAATGCAAGCTATCAAGCCTATGCCTTCCTGCTGGATCAGCCCAGAGGGCCATCTAATCCGGCAGCATATGCCCCAGAGAGGCCGACCAGATGCCTCCCGGAGGCCCAAGCGTTGGGCATCCATTGCTGTTCCTCTGCCCTAGTCCTTCCGAAAGCAGAGCCCTTCCTCCCAGACCGGCCAGTAAGATCCCTGGTACCTCCCACAGCTTCGCTTGAGCAATCTCCTTCCCTCTGGTCTTTTATCACCTCTCCTTGCTCCACTCAGGTCCAACCGGCCTTCCTCACTGGCCTTCGCCTGATGCTCTGAGTCTTCAGTGCTCCTCCTGAAATCCCCTTTCCTGGCTGCCTGTCCACTCTCAGATCCTTGTTCAGAGCCCTTGTTCTTGCTGTCCCAACCGCAAACAGCCCCCAGCCCCCGGCAGTCCCAGACGCTTCAGCCTGCCTCCCACAACACCTGCAGGTGCCCTGTCTCTGCTCCTTCCCTCCTCCCTCCTCTGCTAAATTCACCCTTTCTGCAAAGCCTTCTGCACAAGCCCCTCGTTCCCGAACTGCAGCCAAGCCTGGGCACAAGAGACGGCGAGGAACACAAGTCCTCCCCACGCTCTGCCCTGCCTTTGTCCCCAGCTCTGCTTGCCTCTCTTTCCCTCATTGTTCCCCGGCCATCTATTTTTAGGCTGGAGGTCTCCTGGGCCTGCTCCTTGCAAAGAGCCACGTGCACAAATGGTGCCACTGAAGTAAACAAGTTAAGAGACGCGCAGGCAGCTGCGGAAAGGCCTTGGCTGGGCCTAGCCAGGCACGGCGCGCGAAGAAGAGCTTTTCCAGCCGCTCCAGGTTTAAAAAGCAGCATGGAAGGAAACAGCAGGTGTGCCTGGCTGGGTGGGGAGAACTCTGCCCTTTTCTTTCCTGTCTGAGGTCTTCAAACATCTGGAGACACACAGCGTGACAACCAACCCTCAGGGGCCGAGGATGGGCTGAGTGTGGGTTGCTGCATTGTCTGAATTCAGCTGCTGGGGGTAACCAGCCAGTTGGTTAACCTCAGACAACCCATGAAGAGAACTGTGGCTTGCTGCTGCTGCTGGGTTCAGGCAACCCCCATCCCAGTAACGGCAACAATTCAGTCACCCGTGCTCAATCCTTGAATGAGGGCTACCTTGCGGAGTGAACCCATACAGACTGCTGGTATGAGCAGCTGAGAATTCCTCCTGGGAATGGTGCAGAGACAGAGTGCAGGCGGTGTTCGGACCCAGTGGGTGGGGGCTGAACAATTCCCCCTTGCCTGCTAAAGACATTCTTAATGCCACGTACAGTTTGGCTCCACTGGAGCTCTGTAGCCATCACAGCATCTTGCGGGGCAGTGAATTCCTGAAGCCCAGCCTTGTATTGGACTGCCACACCCCACATTCCCCAGCTAGCTTGGGGAAACTGGGCTTAGCATCACAAAATGCCAGATTAACAGGGTTAGGGTTGAGTTCCGAGACATACAGGGTTACAGGGCTGCAGCTGAAAAGGGGGTGGAGAACAGCTCAATCACCGCACAAGCTCCTGGAGCTTCTTGGGCGGGGCTTTCAGCCAGATGAACTGGGCCTCCCAGCAGCTCCAGTCCAACTCGGTAGCCACTGGGCAACACTGGCTGCCTCACCACACTTCTTAAAGTGCTCAGCCTAGTGCTTGTGGGGTCCACTCCGGGCAGCAAAACTGTCCTGGGACGTAATCATATACATGCACATGGTGCGCATGTCGTGAGCGAAGTTGGCTGGTGCCAGAGGTCAGACTAGATGGCCCAGGAGGCCCCTTCTGACTCGCTCTGTTTCTATGTTTCTATGATTAAACACTGAGAGCCAGCCAATTTCTAGCCTAGGAATGCATATTTAAGTTGGCAGTTAATTGCTGCCAGTAGTTTGTTTTGTGTTTATTTCAAAGATTTGCACCCTGGGTACCTGAGGTGTTTGCATGGCATATGCCAAACTCCAATTTTAAATGCAACCCCATCAAGCATTTCAGTTTAAAATATTCTTGCTGGGTTTCATCTTTGTTGAATTGGCTGACAAATGCCCTGCATGCCTGGACACCAGCTAAGTTCTTCTGCCTGTCTAGAACGTGCGGAAGGGAACAGCGCAAGTGCAAGGGCCATGCGAGCGCGCAGCCAAGCCAGCCAACCCCTGAAGTTCAGCGGTGAAAAGGGGAGAGGGGAAGATGGCAATTCCAGCCATTCCAAGAAGACGGGGCTAAACAAAACAGGACAACATCAAAATGCCCAGTGGAATACAGAGATGAAGTCTCAGGATGCTGAGAACTTTTATTCCAAGGAGTGGGATCAGAACCGCATATTTTTTCAACATCTGGAAACTTTGTCCTATCCCAAGTTGACAGCCCTGCCAAAAGCAGAAGCCTTCCCGATGGGCCAGACGACAACTCCCATCCCGCAGCTGCGAGAGGATTTCAGCCGAGGAGTGTCCCAGAGGCCTGCGTGCCGCCTCGGACTCCTCCGCCCAGAGGGAGAGGCTAGGAGGGCCAGTGGGGGAGGCCTTGCTCTCGGCTCCTGGCACTCCGGAGCCCCTCTCCTGACCAGCCAGCTGCGGGGAGGTGGCTTGCCACCGTTGCCACGTCCCCTTCACTTGGCCCAGCCCATTCCACCTCCTCGAGGCAGCTCACATGGCGACTCGGGGGGGGGGGTGAGGCAATGCCCCCCTCCTGTCGAGACACAGGCCTGGCAGGCGGCCCATCCAGAGGCCCCATCCCTGCACCAGTCCTGGGCAGGTGCGTGGACGGTGATGAGGAGGAGCTTGGGGGAGCACAGCGGGGCTACCCCAGAGAAGGAGCCCAGCCCCCTCAGGAGAGGCACTGCTGCCCCACGGCACAGGATGGGGAGGCAGCACGGAGGGTGGGGGACGGCGCTGCAGGAGAGGCGGATTCATGGGATGACGAACAGCCTGGACGATGGACAGACACAGAAGAGGGGGGTGGATGAGGAGGGCGCCACAAAGCCCCCTTACCAGAATGAAGAGCCACTGGTTGGCGAATTTGTGATGCTCTGGGATGGTGGAAAACACAGACAGGACCAGACAGCTGAAGACCAGGAGAAATCTGGAACAACAAAAGGAGGGGAACATGGGTTAGCATGTGCCAGAGCACTGGCTCCTGCTGGTTCTTCTTCCACCTGGAATCCTCGGCCCAGATGTCGCCACCCAGCCCCGACGTTCCACGTCAGGCACAGCTCCTGAGAGAGCCGCCTCCGACTGTCCAATGTCTTTCCTGACCGCCTTTCTTTTTTGAAGAAAATGAAGCTGACGGTTCAATTCTGGATGGAAGCCCTCAAGACCTTGCCTGTGTAGCTCCTGAGCACCATTCAAAGTGCAAAGCAGCAAACAAGCACGTGCCAAACGTCCGCCAAGGAAAGGGCAGGGCAGCAAATCCGTCAGTGCAGAACAACAGAACACAAAGATGGATCAGGCTGTGTCCAGAAGAACTCACTCCCCCAGCTCGAGCGGGGAAAGGCTCCAGGTCTCTCTTCCCCTCCTGGGTGCTCACCCCACTCCCGCAGCTAACATCAACCAGGGGAGGTGGGAGCTAAAACCCAGTGCCCCAACTCACCACTTGCTCCAGTATTTGCCAGTAGCTCTCACAGGAAATGGGGCAGAGTGGCAAGAAACACAGAAACACACAAAAACAGAGCGAGTCAGAAGGGGCCTCCCGGGCCATCTAGTCTGACTCCCAGATCCAGCCGGCTCCGCTCACGACATGCCCACCATGTGGACGTCCAGCCTATCCTTGGACACCCGCACCGATGGGGCCTCAACCACCTCCCATGGAGGTCCATTCCACACCCCAGGGATCCTAACCATCAGGAAGTACTTCCTGGCAGCCGCCCTAAATCTTGGTTCCCTGAGCTTTGCTCCATTGGAACGTGTCCTGCCCTCCACTGCAGGGAAAAACAGGCCTCATTCCACCTCCGTGTGACACCAACTCACATACCTGTATGTCGCCAACAGGTCCCTCCAAGTCCTCTCCTCTCAAGGCTGAAATGCCCCAGCTCCTTCAGTCTCTCTCCATGGCTCATCCTGCAAACCGGCCACCATCCCAGTGGCCCTCCACTAGGTCCAACCTTCACCAATGCCAACCTTGCTATATCCCTCTTCTAATGGGGGGCCCAGCGGGTTACCCCGGCGCATGGGTGCAGTTTGCCCTTTCTGCCTCCGGCACCAGGAAGCTGCGCAGGCTGTGCCCAAGTTTCATGCACCACCAATCCAGCCGCAGGTGGCGAACTCTGGCAATAGATGGCAGCATGGAGCAGCTGACCGAGCCAAGAAGCGCAGAAAGTTACCCCGAGAGGAACAGAACCAGTCTTGTCCTTGTGTGTGGGGGGTCCTAGCTCCTGAGTGCTCCCATGCAAAATCTCCCGGGGTTTGTGGGGTGGGGGGAGCTGAGCTGCACATTAGAGGCGGGGTGTGTCTCAGTGCCCTCCCTCAGTGGAGGGGCAAGGCCCTTGGCAAGTGCGTGGTAGCGGCCCCTTCAGCAAGGACTCTGTCGTGTGCGGATGTGGCTTTTCCCCCTTCTTTGTTCAGGATCCAAACCCCACCTTCCTGGCCCAGGACTTGAATGGCTGCAGGATATGACGCCTGGGGGACTGGGTGCGAGAGGCAGGGGCAAGACCAGCTTCTGCATCTGGGGGATGTGCCCAGAGCTGCGCCTTGTGTTCAGCAAACGCAGCATTTGCGTTTGTTGCCTTTCTTCCAAGTACGTGGGACGATGCCTCTGCCCTCCCCATTTAATCCTCGCAACAACCCTGTGGGGCAGGCCGGGCTGCGAGTGCGGCCTGGGTCGCACAACCTGCCAAGAGCTGTGAGACATTGCCTCTTGTAGGGTTAGCCAAACCCAGAATGTTGCCCAACAGGTGTTGTTCCCCTCCCGACAGGCCACCCTGAGAACCCGTGGTCTGGAACAGTCCACCCTAAAATTATGACTGGACCCATCTTGAGCACCATTTTATTGGTAGAAAGGTGGGTGATACATTGAATGAATAAATGAGCTTAAATCTATAAATAGGGATTACATTTATTTAATCTTGAATTACTAATTGATTATATTTATATCCTGCCTGAGGAACCTTAGGTGGTCTACGTGGTCCTCCTTCTTTCCACTGCATTCTGCCAACAACCCTGTGAGGTAGGACAGACAAGAGTCAGTGACTGGGCCAAAGTCACCCAGTGAGCTTCATGGCTGACTGGGGACTAGAACCCGGATTCCCTGAGTCCCAGTCCCATGCTCTCACCACTGTACAACACCACTATATTTTTTTACCATGTAAACTAGAGAATATTAAAGTCTGTACCACCATCTTGCTTCCAGTGTTGAGACCAGAGCCTCTTCCCCAGTCCAGTGCCCTCTGCATGTGCCAGGCCACAGTTCCCAGCATCCCCTAGCTAGTCACACTGGCTGGTGGCTGCTGAGAATTGTAGTTCAGCACATCTGCAGGGTCCCTGTATGGGGATAATTATATTATTTATGACATCATTTTATAAGTACCTGGCCTGTCTAGCAAGAAAAATGGCACTCAGGTGGACTCACAACACCAGATTCAAACAATTAGAAAACAAAGATGTTAACACAGAACAAGAACAGAAGAAAAACAAAACCCAACCCAACAGATTTCTTGACACCCCAAAAGTCTGCTTGAGGAAGGTATTCTGCCTACCAGCAGGAGGACATCAGAGGGGTTCCAGGCATGTCACTGAAAATACCGAAGGACCTGGCACATTATTATATATTTTAAGCACCTTCCACTCACATTTCAGCAAGAACTCTACTGCCCAGAACCTGATCATACAATCAGCAGACTAAAGTGGAAAGAGGTTTCTTAGACTTTGCTTTAGATCTTTCACTCCAGACTGCAAGCAAAGAACTGCTCACACTTAGAAAAACAACACGAGGGAAACTACCACAGCCTCTTCTTCTCCAGGCAGGCCGCCTTGGTGGTGGGAAGGAGTCGCACAGGCTGCCCCTCCAAATAGCTGCAGTGGAGAAGCGCAAGAAATTCCGTAGGGCTTGAGATGGCTGACCTCACAGATGGTTGGCGTTGTTGGAAATGTGAGAAGGAGTACTTAAAAAACAAGCACCACCAAAATGGGCAAGTCTGATACTTTTGACATTTTGGAAACTTCTTGTGTCGAGTCAGAAAATTGGAGCCAGAGGCACCAAAAAAACAAAAAACAAAAAAACGGATGCAAAGGATGCAAGTCTCACAGCATGGAACAGACACCCGAAACACAAAACTCATCAGATCTCAAGACTGCCGATTCTGGCGGTTTCTAAAAGGTGGATGGAAACAAAGGGAGATGCAGCCCGCCAAGAGTGCATCTGTTTTCTGATCTCTTCTGGGGAAGAAGGGGGGATCTTTGACCAGACTCCCAGCTTGGCTAGGGTGGTGCCAGGGGGCAGGGGGAAGTGACCTGGCTTCCGATGGAAGATGCTCTTGCCCCAGTGCGAACAAACCAGCAAAGGTTTGCTCAGAGCTTTCCAAAAGGAGTCCGACCCACCGAGCTTTCAAAGGTACGGAGGAAGTGACTGGGGTCAATGGAGCTGGTTTTCCTCCAGTTCGGCTTTTGTGCCCAGTCTCTGCGCGTCTGCGATTCCTCTGCTCAGAGGCTAGTGACACTCAACCTAGTCCCTGCAACTGACAGGCAGAATGAAGCCTCTGGATTGGTTGTGCTGCTTTTAAATATGCAAAGCCCTTTTGGTGGTGGCACCCAAAAAGCAGAAGCCTGCTTCCAGGCATGTTTGCCTGGCATGCATGCCATCTTTCAGGAATCACACAGAGCCAGGCCTGTTCTCGTGTGAATTTCACAGCTCTTTCACAGCTGGGAGCACTTAAATTGGATTTTATGTTGCTTTTTGAGCTTTCCACGACCACCTCTATTTATTCGGATGCTTCATTGGCCCAGCTCATAGCTCTTCTTCCTCTTCTGTATTTTAGACTTAGGCCTCCCCATGGGCATCAGTTGCAAAAGCAAAACATAAACGCTGTATCGAAAAACAAAATAACCCCAGAGCAGATATCAATGGAAGCCCACATGTAGTGGCAACAGACATGGCAGACTGGTCCACGCAACCGTTTCTCCACCACGCCAGCTTCCCAGAGCCAGTGTGGGGCAGTGGTCTGAGTGCTGGGCGGGGGACCCAGGAGAGCCAGGGTTCAGTCCCACCATGAAGTCCCCTGGGTGACTTTGGGCAAGCTACTTGCTCTCGGCCCAGCCCACCTCCCAGGGCCGTCGGTCTGAGGATAAGGTTGGGTGGAGGAGGACTGTGTGGCTGCCTTGGGTTCTCCACAGGAGGAAAACCGGCGGGATGCGGAAAACCGCAGCATCACTGTCATCGTAGTTACGGTGAATCATAGTCAGTAAGTCCGATGCAGAGAGCTCTGTGGGCAGGCAGGTACCTGCTCTCTGAAAGGACATTTCTCTCTGCAAAGCAGCGCTACTCCTACAACTGGGCTGATGAAGCTATTTCGAACCTTCTTCCTTTTTTCTATCCAGGCGTCCTTAAAACAGATGAAGAGAGGGAGAGGCTTTAGCACAATTAGCAAAGAAAAGAATTAAGGGGGAAACAAAGATTGCTGAAGACAAAGGAATGGGATGTGTGCAAAAATTTTCCCCCTGATCCAGCAATTCTAAATATGGAACGTGGAAAAGATCGGGCCACCAGCTTGCATAACTGCATGTTAAGACCATCCATCTCCGAAGGCAGCGTCCTGCCCCCAAGACCCAGAGGCAACAGTGCCAGGAACATGCGTGGATGTGACAATACAGCAACACAATTTACACCAGGCAGGAGGGGGCAGGCAGTCAGCTCTCACAAGCAACATGCCCGCTGCCACATGCGGACAAATGCAGAGTCCAGGGGCCAGACTCGGGAGGGCTGAATCCAGTGAGCCCCACCCGCTGCCCTGTCCTGCCGATGGAGCCATGACAGAAGCATCTGATGTCACAACGGGGGCGAAGAGTGTGCAGACAGAGAGGTTCTGCCCCCCTTCTAATATCAGAACGGGATGTCAGGCCGACAAACGGATCAGCAGAACATTTCAAATGTGG